ACATTAACTGTACTTCCCACTTCTAGTTGACCTCTGTAAGAGGAGCCTGGCTTCATTTCCACATAATTCTGTCTCAAAGAGATTGGCAGGTTTTCCTTGCCCTCACACTTCTGAGCAGGAAGAGATTCACTGCTTTTAGAACTGTGAATGGCTGCAACAGGGCTTTCTCTGACCACCACAGCTGCGTAAGGATTAAGTGCTCTATCACCTCTCTTTAGATCAGACTCTTCTCTGAGCCTCTTCTCTGCATTTACTTGCTTTTCCTCCCCAGCACATGCTGGGGAAGAGGCCTGGCTCACAGCCTTATCAGGCAATTTCTGGAGAGTCTCGGGTATTTCACACCTCTGGTATTCAGCATGCCCTCCCTGGGCCATGAGTTTACTTACACTTTTCTCTCCTAATTGGGACTGGTCAAAAATTTCAACCATGTATTTCTCGCCCTGCACACTCAAAAAATGAACTTTTAGTCCCTTGTTCAGTACAATCTCTCTGAAGGCAGACAGAGATGCTTCACTCCAACTCCCACTCAGAGCAGAAATACCTGCCAAACAACACTTCAGAGCTAAAGCAGGTAGTTCCCTGAACCGAGGGAGCAGCTCCTTTACTGCACACCGATCTACAGTTTCCGTACTGCCTCTGTCCACCAGGTGTATTTCTACCTCACTGTCCAGTACCCTGGTGATCACCGCTCGATAAAAGGCACCGTCTTTCCCACCAGCACAACAAAGGGATCCAGGCTGTAAGTCCCACCCAGCACCATCCAGCTTTGTGGCATGGGAGTAAAAATTCCACATGCTCTGCCTCAGCTGCCTGAAGAGCTGGCGATGCTCATGGAGCTGCAGCCAGAACTCAGATGGGTCGTGGAGATGGGAGACGTGCGCATCGTGGAACACGCCCAACTTCAGACGCACAGCAACTACAGGAGCAGAGGCCAAATCTCTGTGCGTTAAAGCAACAGGAGGTGCTCCTGGTGGCAGTTCCAGTTCTTCAGCTATGGATTCTTCTACTTCCAGCTGCTCCTGAGCCTCAGGTTGGCTGACCTGCGCATGGCTGCTCACCAGGCAGCAAGCCTGCACCCCAAAAAGATGGTTCAAGTTGACGCCATTTTCCCCGTACAGGTGCACATAATAGAGATGCTCAAAGGAGTTAAAAGCTTTGATGCGAGCACTCACTCCCTTGCCTAGCACCAATGCTTTCAGCTCATCAATCTGTGACGAGGACCAGCCGCGACCCCCATCCGAGATACCCTGAAGAGCACATGGATAAGTCACCACAGGCATGCGAAAACACTCAACAGGCAAATAGCGCAGGTTAGCTCTGGTCACAGTCTCCTTCCTGCCATAGTCCACAAAGATCACCAGAGCCACTTGCTGGTCCTGCTCCCCAGCAATAACCTCCAGCAGGAGTGCACGATACCACTGGCCATCTATGCCACGGGCAGCACAGGGTGAGCCCACTTTGGGTAATAAATCCTGCTCCCACCGGTCATAAGTGTGGCGCATGGTATCAGAAAGGCAACGGATCTCCTGGGACAGGCTCTGCAGCTGGCAGTAGATGTGGTGTGGGTCAGAGACATGGGTCACTAGGACAGGCTCTGTCACGCCCAACTGAAGCTGTGGGTAGAAGTAATCCAAGGGAGGTGACACAGGCTGATATGAGAGCAAAACACGGAGAAGCTGCGGCACTGCAGAAGTCACAAGGGAACATGCTGGAGGCTGCAGCTTGACCTGGTTCCTTAAGTGGCCATAAGCTAGGCAGCGCCTGAGGACCTGGTGGAACCAACTGGGAGCGACCTGCCTGGCCAGGCCCAGGTGATGCATCTGGGCTGCGAGCTGGGGCAGCTCCAGCACTATGAGCTGCGGCGTCATCACCTCCTGCACCAGGCCAGACACCTCCTTGCCATGCAGGTAGCTGAGGAACTCCATAGCCTCCACTGTCCAGGTGGAGACTGGTGCATCCCCACAGGCTGCCACCCTGGGGCCTCCGGAGGGCATGACGTCAGCCACAATACAGCCCAGCACCTCCGGGGGCAGGCGGAAAAGCTCCTTGCAGCCCCGCGCCAGGTAACAGGCAGACGTGACCACCGTGAAGCCCTCATCAAGCAGGAAAACACGGTAGTCCTGGCCGCGGCGACTCACCACACAGCAGCGATACCAGAGCCCGACCACCTCCACCAGACCCAGATCTCCAGTGCACAGCTCAGCCCCACCGGCCACCAGCCCGCCGGGACCCGGGGCGGCCGCCAAGCGCGGCCCCACCGTTGCCTGGATCTCACGACGGAGGCAGACGTAGTCAGCGCTGCGCTCACCCAGCAGCCCCCACAGCCGCACAACGGGCACCTCGGGGCGCAGGCCCACCGCGCAGACCCGCAAGGTCACGGTGGCGCCGGGGCTGAGCATCCCCTGCCCGGAGCTCATCCTCCCCCGCCTCTGCCTTCGCCGCCCACACCAGGCCAAACGGCGGCCCCCGCCCCGGCCTCATAGGGCACGCGCCGCCCACGTGACCGGCGGGGAACCGTTACGCGGCTGCCCGAGTGGTCGAGTCCATTTTGATCCCCCCGGGGGGGGGGGGGGGAACAGGAGAGGCGGACCGGGCTAACACAACCGGCCGCCC